ATAACTGAAATATTATAGCTTTAAATGTGTACCTTAAAGATGTATTGAAGCCATTAAATCATTCTTGAGAAATTTTTTTTTAAATGACATGTAGCTCTGAAAACAACTCAGTGATGTCACTGTTGCTATGAAAGCTAATGAAGGCAGAAAGGGAGAATGAGCGGGAAGTGGACACTGTGGGATGGAAGTCCAAAGGGACAAAGGTGGCCAACATCACACTTTCAGAAGTTGTCTCAAGTGCCGATACTGTATTCTGTTGGCTCTGGACCCTGACTTGGTGCTCACCATTGCTTCACCATTGGGAGAGTCACCCATCTGTCAATGCAATGGATTCATGTTAGAACAAAGCATCTTTAATTATTGCTTTGCATCTCTTATTATAATTGTGGAACAGGCCATGGTGCATTTATGAGGGTAACTTGTGTAATTATGTCACTTCTATACGGCTCTCTTTTAGTAATATCAATAGGTCATCTCTTTACACAAAAATTATCACAGAAATACAGAATCTTCAAATTAAAGGAATTTTTATACTACTGTCCCTTCTGACACCTACTTCATAATTCCCTTTAAGAGTTTTTATCCAGAAGAAACAGTTGTTTATGGTAAAACTCACAATCTTTAAGAAAAAGAATAGTTATTTCTGTCATCTGTATTCTTGAACAGAATAAAACCTCTATGTAGCAATAATAGAATCTAAATAATGGCTAATATTTTTGACTCTAATCTAAGAGTGATCTATGTTATTAATAGAAACTATGGAATTCAAGATAGTGTGTACAGGACCAGGCTACAGCTCAGTGGTAGCGTGCGTGTATGCTTAACATGCAAAAGGACTGGATTCAATTTCCAGCACCAGAAGAGAAAAATAAGAATAACATGCTCAATGAATTTCTGAAGGAATTAATATATCTCAATCTCCCTTCAAGCTTAACCCAATAATGAATTTTTATTCTTGGAAGACAACAGCTAAATTATGTCCTATTGCCAAAAAAAAATCTCTGAGAATAAATTTAACACATTTGAGAACTTTTTCTGAACAATTGCTTATCTAGTTATGGGTTCAAACTTTGGAATTACTCTTTTTCATGTTGGCTTTCACGGAAAAGAAAGGACATAATTATTGTCTACTATAATGATAAAGGAACATTATAACTCTATTACCTTATCTCATTGCATATCTCTTAGCATCCCAATTGTCATAGATGAGAAAATTTGTGCTCAGAGAGTTAACATAACTCATTCCCTGTTGCATAACTGGCTGCTGGGAAAATCTGCTTTCGTCTCTCAGCTTTCAAAGTTGGAGGCCTTCCCACTGTGTATAACAGAGCACAATGTTTTACAATGCTTTTGTTTTCCTAACTTTGGAGGCAAATCTATATGTCATTTATTAAAATGAACATTTATGCTGTTTCAGATTATAAGAATGCTAAACAGTGATGAGATTGCATGTCAAGAGATGGTATTACTACAAACTTTTATCAGGAAAGTTTTTTGAATGTGTGATCTGAACAACTCATCCTCAGAATCAGTCCAAGCGTTTTAGACCCCCTGTGGCTAGCCTCCACTATGATATATCATGCTGACTAAAAGCAGCGTGGAGAGGGAAGGGCTTCTTAGTTTTACATGTACAATCCATCACGGAGCTCGATGCTGAGAAGCTGAGGATCTGGAGGAATGCTGTTTGCTGGCTTGCTTTCTCTGACTTGTTCAGCTACTTTTCTTTTTTTAATTTTTATTTTTCCATTCAATTATTTACACTTCCTTCCCTCCTCCCAATCCCCTCCCTCTTCCCCACACCCCCTCCTCCCTCTCCTTCCCTGCTTGAGAGAGGGCTGGGAATCCTGCCCAGAGGGAAGCCCAAGGCCCTCCTCCCTACATCCAGACCTAGGGAGCTGTGCATCCATATAGACTAGGGTCCCAAAAAAGCCAGAACATGCCGTAAAAACAAGTCCCAGTGCTTTCTCAGTCAGCCCCCATTGTCAATCACATTCAGAGAGTCCGGTTTGGTCGCAAGCTCATTCAGACCCGGTCCAGCTGGATTTGGTGAGCTCCCATTAGAACAGGCACACTGCCTCAGTTGGTGAACCAACCCCTCGCGGTCCTGACTTTCTTGCTCATCTTCTCCCTCCTGCTGCCTTTCAACTGGACCTTGGGAGCTCAGTCCGTTGCTCTGATGAGGGTCTCTGTCTCTATCTCCATCCGTCGCCGGACGAAGATTCTATGGTGATATTCGAGATAATCATCAGCGTGATAGTGGGGCAAGGACAGTTCAGGCACCCTCTCCTCTGCTGTCCAAGGACCTAGCTGGGGACATTCCGTGGACACCTGGGATCCCCTCTAGAGCCAAGTCTCTTGCCAACCCTAAAATGGATCCCTTACTATAGGTATCTTATTTTCTTATAACAGTCAGACCTACCTGCCTAGGGATGGTACTGCCCACAATGGGCTGAGACTTCCTACATAAACTGGCAATCAAGGAAATGCCCACAGAGCGCACTCATAGACTGAGATTCCTTCTGCCCAGAAGGAATGATTCTAGTTTGTATCGAGTTGACCAAATCTAACCATCAAAATTGCTTTGCCGAGAAATTACAAGCTTTCTATTTTTAGTATAGTTTTACCAAAAATCATCTTTGAATCGACAATTTTATAAGAACCTTGAGATTATCTGAACAAAACAACTGCATTCATAAGGTCACAAAACCGTTCAATTCCACATACACAAATATATTCAAATAACAAGAGAGTTGAGTAAATGCAGTTATTAAACAGTTGAAAAGTTTGCAAACTTATGTACATTTATTGAGGTTTGTGGAGAACTGGAATCACTGTCTTTCATTCTATTAGAAAATGTTGTAACTAAAAAGTAGAAAATTCTAGAAAACATTTGTATAGTGGGAGTGATTATGATCACATGTGTGATTTACATATGTAAAAATATCATAATTAGACCAGTATTTATATAATTTATATACACTAACTTAATAAGAAAACTCTTGACACCATGTGATGAACTGGGAGTCTGTTACTCAGCCTAACTGTACTTCTATGAGTCTACCACTAATCTGGATCACTGCAAATGCTACAGTCGTGACTGTGCTTTCGTGGTTTGGAAATTCCCTTAGAGGTTTATCTACTGCCCTCCAAAGAGCAGAGAAATGTTAGACCATGGACTGCTTTTGCATGACACACCTTTTACAGTGAATGTTGCTTTATTTCGTGTTGGTGTATGTGATGTGTACCAGTGCGTGTGCATGCATGCCACTGCGTGGGTGGAGGTTCTCTCCTTTCACCAGGGTTTACAGAAACTAAACTCCGCCCAGCAGTTTGTGCATCAAGTGCTTTTACCTGCTGGTCCATCTTGACAGCCCTATTGCAAACTTTTTTAATTTAAAAATATTTTCCATGCACTATATCTTGATCATATTCATATTTCCCCTTATCTCTCTCCTCCCAGATTCTCCTCATCTCCCTACTCACCCAACAACATTTTTCTTCTCTCTCTCTTTCAAATAAAAACAAAACAAGGCAAAACATTGAAAAATCAATATAAGAGATAGATAAGAAACCCAAAACAAAACTATATGACCAAGCAATTTTTAGATTGGTTTTGAAAAATAAACTTTAAAATCATCCTCAATGGTGCCTAAGTTACTGGAGTTTCCGGACCCCCTTAACTTCCAAGAACATGGCTCAACAGTTAAGAGCATTTTCTGCTCTTGCAGAGGATGTAGGTTCTGTCCCCAGAATTCATATGGCAGCTTCAATCATTTGTAACTACAGTTCCAGGGGATTCAACAGCCTCCTCTGGCCTCCTCTCTCCTCAGGCCTCTGCAACACCAGGTATGCACCTAGTGCACATACATACATATAGACAAAGCACTTGCATAAAAGTAAATCTCTCTCTCTCTCTCTCTCTCTCTCTCTGGATATGTATTGCCAGGAATGGTGCACGCCTTTAATCCCAGCACTCAGAATACTGAGCCAGGAGGACCTCTGTGAATTTCAGGCCAGCCTGATCTACATAGTGAGTTCCATGTCATCCAGAGCGAAGTAGAGAGACCCTGACTCAGAACAAGCAAGCAAATTAAAAAGGATACCTGTAAAATTATGCTATTCCTGATCTATAAGCATTTAAAAACATGTTGGCCAGGCGGTGGTGGCACATGCCTTTAATTCCAGCACTTGCAAGGTAGAGGCACGCAAATCTCTGTGAGCTTGAGGCAAGTCTGGGCTACAGAGCTAGTTCCAGGACAGTCAGGGCTGTTACACAGAGAAACCATGTCTCAAAAAAAATGTTCTTATAAATAATAAATAAACAGTGAGGTGAATGACAGTTATTAATGACAGATCTTTTGTTTCTCTCTGACAGGTGCCTTCTTGTTTTTAGTTTTGCCCAGCAGAACACAACCCATTTGTGCTTACTACTACATGTAACACAGAAGTAATAAAAGCCTAAATCAACTGAATTTTCTTTTTTTAAGTCAAGGTTTCTAGGAGAAATAAAATTGGGATTTTTTTCTAAATAGCTGATCAACTACATTTTATTTATTTTTATTGAAAGCAACATGTTTGGAACATATATATAGAACTGCACATTTTATAAGCAGAAGAATTTTTCCCTAGTATGCTTTCCAAAAGGTTCTACAACCTGTTTCAAAAGAAAGGCCTACAGGATGCAAAGCCTTTGACATCCCTTTGGAGTAAAAGGATACAATGCCCCGAAGATCTGTTTTTGCAATACTGTCAGCATGCCCCTGTGTTTATGATCCTATCAGCTCTCCCTCGCTCTCACCTGTGCACTGTCACCTGGCTCAGCACCAGAGACTGTTAGAGTCTGACATATTCTTGTTAGTGAGAGAACTGTTTCCACTATCATCAAGAATCTGAAGACTGAGCATTTCTAGCCCTTGATACTGTCCTATGCTTCCAAAGCATTTGGGGAAATGAGAATCTTGTCGTTGGTATCTGTGAACTGAATGGCTCCTAATAATTCTCATGAGCTAAGCAAATGAGACAGAAGAATGGCACTATTAATTATAGTAATTACCTGCCTCGTGATTATTCTCGATACCTCACAGTCTTGCCACACCCCGGATGACTTTGTGGCTATCACTTCTCCTGGACATATCATGATTGGGGGTCTATTTGCCATTCATGAAAAAATGCTGTCCTCAGATGACCATCCCAGGCGACCACAAATCCAGAAATGTGTTGGGTGAGTAAAACTTTAAAAAAAAAAAAAAAGAAAAGAAAGAAGAAAAGAAAAAGAAAAAAGAGTTAGACTTCAAGATTGTACTGTAAGACTAAGACATGCAGATGGTTTACTTGTGATAACATTTTTTTTAATAGAACATGAGTTTATTTTGAATTTGCATCTGGTTAGTTTTATGGTCCTTAAAATTTATTCATCAGCCCTGTTTGTGTAATCAACTTCCAAACACAGGGGTTGAGAATGCTTTACAGCAATGTATTTTTTTAACTATGCCTTTTGAAAAATCTCAGAAGCCACCTGTAAGGATGTTGTAACCTGTCCTGCACTACAGCGAGCACGCCAGGCTTTTGTGTCTGTCACCCACAGCATGCACGTCAGAATTAGAAACGTAGGCTTATGGTTTTATGTCTTATTTCAAAGTTCACATTTGAGGTTTCCTCACTCACATTTCATCAGTGCTGTATTCTTTTCACTCTAGAATAATCTAATCCTAGACTGGCAAGATGGCTCAGCCGTTAAAGACTAGGCTCACAACCAAAAATAGAATAATCTAAACCTTTGCTAACAAGTTATGACCATACTCAAAGCACAAAGCTCCTTTTCCTTTTTACCGAACACATTGTTACACGCAGTGTTAATTCCTGGCATGGTGTCATGCGAGAAACTAAAACTGGGGGCGGGGGGGGATGTTACAGATGGATTTTGCTTGAAGGAAAACAAGATGTTTTAGCTAAATTTCCGTTTTAGAACACAGTTTTTGAGAAATTGACTTGCAGCTCCTGTCTAGGAAAAGAGAGGCCAGACACCTTTAAAAACACAAACAACGTCAGCATCAAATGGTATAACAATGTGACCCTCAGGCTTGCCTGTGCCTCTGAAATTCTGATCTCAACGTGACGTAAGCTTAAATTCTCTTTTGTTTTACTTTTCTGATTTGTTTCGTTTGTTTTGCTTTGAGACAAGATCTCATTGTATATCTCAGGCTAACCTTAACTCTTGATCCCTTTTGCCTTAACCTCCAGAGTACTGTGCCTTGAAAAATGTATCATTATATCCGATCTTCTATTTGTTCCCTTATCAAATAATGCTTACTAAGCCCTATAAGATGCTTTTGCATCACATGTGATTCCTGGATCATACCAATTTCATCCCCATTTGATTTACCATTACTCCAACCAGTGATTACCTGAAATGGTACAAAATAATAAGTGAAGATTTTCAGTGCAGAAAATTGGTACCCAAAGAATTGAAGTCCATAATTTTAAGTCAATAACCAGTGATAAATATAAATGTAACATTTGATCTAACAAACTTCTTCCAGAGAAAAAAATCAGAAATAAATTAAATGTTTGACTTTATTGTCATTCCTCAAGGGAAATGCATCTTACTCAACAACGCTGAGCCAGGGGTTAGTGTTATCTGGTCCCCGTTCTGGGCACTGCAGACACAAAGGTCATTGAGTTTACATGTAAGGGGCTAAGAAAATACAGTATGGCTTAATTATGAAGTAATATACTAATCTTTTATTTCATTTTAATAAAAATTTTAACAATGATTTTTCTATATTTTATCCCACAGTGACAATAGTAATTTTCAAGTAATTATAAGTTAATGAACTGTAAGCAAACTTTGGAATCAAAACCTGGAAGTTTCCCTTTATCCACTTAAAAATCATCCATTTACCTTTCATTTTATATGAGGTTAAAGGTATAATGTTTGGGTGCAGTAGGGAAAGAAATAACAGTGAATCAGGATTAGATTATTGCGGTCTCTGAAATAATCCAAAAGCAACATGCATGCAAGAAATGTTCTCTGAAACAGATGTGTCTCTTGACAAACACTGGGCTTTACCAGTTATTCTTAAAAGTCTGATTCATGTATTTAGAAATACTTATGAATGCAACAACAGTTAATGAATAGGAGGTCACATATTTGAAAGAGAACAAGAAGATACCATATATGGGAGGGTTTGAACAAAAAAAGAGAAGGATGAAATTATATAATTATATTATAATCTCAACAAAAATATTTTTTAAAAAATAAAAATTTAAATTTATAAAATACTATTTATCTTATTTCCAACATTCGCAGATTAAAGCCAGAAAATTAAGAGATAGGATTGAAGTCTAAGAAGCATATGCATTGACAGCAATAGCATGTTGACATGTAACTGCCAACAGGAGCAAGATTCAACATACCAGATATGACAGTATATTAAAATGTCCAACACAATCCCAAGATTCATCAAGAAAAAGACTAAAGGCTGTGCTGTAGCCTCTATTTATGAAACTTGTGTTTCTGACATTATCTTTTTTAAAGGTTTCCTTTGAAATTATTTTCCCTGGGGGAGTAGGAGGAAGGAGTTGGAAGTGGCTGTCTATGATCAAGGTGCATTACTCAAAGCACTACAGGCAACTAATGGCTGCTGGGAGAAGGAGAAATAGCCTCTCCCAGGAATGAGTCTTCTTATTGGTTATCCAATACAGGGTGATCAGCCTTGAAACCATATACACACAAACAACGAAGATGAATTCATCAGGTGTTTTCTATAAATATATATCTGTGCATATGTATGGATGTACATAACAATAATAAGCAAAGGAAAAGAGAATATCAGCTAGAGTTGGGAGGAAATGGGTTGAGTGAAGGTAGCTAGTAGGTACTGAAGGAAGAAAATGATACAGTTATAATTTAATTAAAAATGTATCTTTGAAAGATACATTGTTTACATTTATAAAACTGTTAACAAATAAATAGAAGATATTCTATTAAAGTTATTATCAGAGGGGGGGGAAATTGATTTCAAATAAAGTTCACATTTTTCATGAAATCAGTTGGATTCATCCAAAAATTATCCATCAGAGGACAGAGGTGTGGCTGAGGTACGCTAGCCCCATATCAATAGAATAGTTATGTTTTGTTTCTGAAACTGCTTGTTTCTCCACAGCTTTGAAATATCAGCATTTCTTCAAGCTTTGGCTATGATACACAGCATTGAGGTGATCAATAACTCGACACTGTTATCCGGAGTCAAACTAGGGTATGAAATCTATGACACGTGTACGGAAGTCACAGCGGCAGTGGCAGCAACTCTGCGGTTCCTCTCTAAATTCAACTGCTCCAGAGAAACCGTGACCTTCCAGTGTGACTACTCCAGTTACCTGCCAAGGGTAAAAGCTGTCATAGGTGCTGGCTATTCGGAAATATCCATGGCTGTCTCAAGGATGCTGAACTTACAGCTCATGCCACAGGTACATTTTTGTTCTCCTTCCTTCCATATGTTGGCTTTGATTACATTTGTTTTTTTTTTTTTTTAAAAAGATCGGGGAAACCTAGGAATTAGCTAGCGAGTCACTTTGCAATAGTCAAAAACTAATTTCTGACAGTTTGTTAAAAGCTGATTTAGAAAAGACACCTATCTCTGAGGGCCTCACCTGCTCCGTTTCCATAGTAATCTCAGCCAGGTTCAAATAAAGCAATGGAACTAAACATCCTTGGGTGCTATCGTAAGTTGATCTTCTTACAGAGAGAGGATTTAGGAAGAGCAATAGAAATCAAAGGGTGAGCTTACTACAACCAGATCCTGTGCTCCACTACCATAACTCAAAGATTCTGTGCACTTCCAGGTGAGTTATGAATCGACTGCAGAAATCCTAAGTGACAAAGTCCGCTTTCCTTCATTTTTACGGACTGTACCCAGTGACTTCTACCAAACTAAAGCAATGGCCCACCTGATCCAGCAGTCTGGATGGAACTGGATTGGCCTCATAACAACAGATGATGACTATGGAAGATTAGCTCTGAACACTTTTGCAATTCAGGCCGCTGCAAACAACGTGTGCATTGCCTTCAAAGAGGTGCTGCCAGCCTTCCTCTCAGACAATACCATTGAAGTCAGAATCAATCAGACACTGGAGAAAATCATTGCAGAAGCCCAGGTTAATGTCATTGTGGTGTTTCTGAGGAAATTCCATGTTTTTAATCTCTTCACTAAAGCCATTGAAAGACAAATAAATAAGATCTGGATTGCTAGTGATAACTGGTCAACCGCTACCAAGATTATCACCATTCCTAATATTAAGAAGCTTGGCAAAGTGGTGGGGTTTACATTCAGAAGAGGCAATATGTCTTCTTTCCATTCTTTTCTTCAGACTCTGCATAGGTATCCCAATGACAATAACAAACCCCTACATGAATTTGCCATGCTTTTTTCTGCCTGTAAGCACATCAAAGATGGTGATTTGAGTCAATGCATTTCCAACTATTCTCAAACAGCTTTGACCTATGACACTACCAAGACCATTGAAAACCACTTCTTCTTGAGAAATGACTTCCTGTGGCATTATACTGAGCCAGGACTCATTCACAGCATTGAGCTTGCAGTGTTTGCCCTTGGCCATGCTGTTCGTGATCTGTGCCAAGCTCGCGACTGCCAGAAATCCAACGCCTTTCAACCATGGGAGGTACTAATTCACAAATCCAAGTCTGTTGGCCAACTGTCATTTCCCCATTTCCCCTCTTGCTTTATTTTACGAAGATCCACAGTACTTACTCTCAACCTATCACTTCTGCAAGTAAAAACTGTCATTTTATAACCTGTATTGCTAATATAATTTTCTGTTCTTGATGATAGTTATATTTTATCCTCATTTCTTTCTCTAAGCCCCAAAGTTCTGTTTCATTTTCTAAAGATACTCTGTTAGTAGTGTGCTCTTCCTCCTTAGATATATGGATTTTTTTCAATACTTTATATGTATTATGTTGTTTACTTATTTTGCCCATAAGAATTAGATTACATAAGCTAGAAGTTTATCTGAATATTGTTAAATATAATAGTGTTTCCCTCATCTGAGATGCTCAGTACTATATACATTGAGATTCAATAGCTTAGGTATAGGACAAAATCTATATATAAAATTAATCTTTGCTTATATTTGCCTTGTTCATATAACTTGAAAGTGGTCTTATACAATATTTTTAGTGCAGCTCTACTGTGCCAGTGAAGTAAAGTGTATAATTTTTCACTTATACTATCAATTTGGTGCTCAAAAACTCAGATTTGTAGCATTTTGGATTCAGGATGCTCATCATGCATATGAGGAAACTAGAAACAAAAGGCATCATAAATAAACATGATATTCCCCTAATTGTGCAGCAGATACTTTATAATCCTATCCTCTAGTTCAGCAGTTCTCAACCTGTGTGGTGACCTATTGTGGGTAGGGTCCAATGACTCTTTTACAGGGGTTGCCTAAGACCATCAAAAAACACAGATATTTGCACTATGATTTATAACAGTAGCAAAATTGTAGTTACAAAAAAGTAACAAAAATAATTTTATGGTTGTGGATCACCACATCATGAGGAACTGTATTAAAATTAAATGGCTGCAGCATTTGGAAGGTTGAGAATCACTCTCTAGTAAATGCTCTTACTCTCACAAATAGTATGCTATCTGTAGGAGTGTGTGTGTGTGTGTGTGTGTGTGTGTGTGTGTGTGTTGAGATTTGTATTTTTGTTTTATTTGTATGAATGTTTTGCCTGCATGTATGTATGTATGTATGTGCACTGTGTGCAAGCCATGCCTGCTGAAGTCAGAAGAGAGTGTTGAATCCCTGGAATTGGAGTTGTAGACAGTTGTGAGCCACCATGTAGGTGCTGAGAATAGAACCTAAAAGTGACGAGTCATCTGAAAGAGTGCTCTTAACCACTGAGCCATCTCTTCAGTCCCCTGAGTCTTCTACATGGAAATGTTGTTACATTTATGTTATGAAAATAACATTTAAATGGGACACCAAGTGTGTATAAAACAAAGTTTTCCTTTCTTTTCTTGGATTACTTTGGAAAGACTTAAAGTTTAATATGACTCTAGTTAGTGAAAAATCATATTGTTGTTTTTTTAATGACCTTGAACAAAGCGTGTAAGGTACAATGTTTCTTTTAATAATGGTATTTAACTTGGGAGAATCAAACTTCTCAATCATATGAATTCAAAACAAGACTTTGAACAGGTATGGAGACAGTATCATAATACAACATATATATCATTTAGAGTTATAAGTGAACAGAGGGCAGAGTACAATAAGACAGCTGAGATGTTACAAGCACCTTCTAGACTGTTATTTGTTATCATCACTATTATTGCTATTATTGCTATTGCTTAGAATTCAAGCAGTGGCCTTGTGCAAGCTAAGCATGCGCTGCCAGGAGCTCCCTCCCAGTCACTATTGTTTATATTTTAACCATCTACAACATAAGCACCAACGACTGAAGTAATCTGCTTCCTTCTTTAGATGAGTAATTTCCATGTCTTTTGCTTGTTTGTTCTGACTTTGTTGTTGTTGTCTGTTTTGTTTCGTATTGCTCTGGGGTTCAGTGAGCATTCTGAACCCCGGAACTGCATTCTCAGTCCTTGAACCATGTAGCTGAAATTGCTATTTTTTAAATTGTACTTGTCTTTATTTTTAATAGATGCATACTCAGTATACATGTTGTGAGGCAGATATTGCTCATTTTCAGGGACTTTTTGATTTATAAATAGAAAGTCAAAACATTAGAGTCATTGGACCCTACCCACAATAGGTCACCACACAGGTTGAGAACTGCTGAACTAGAGGATAGGATTATAAAGTATCTGCTGCACAATTAGGGGAATATCATGTTTATTTATGATGCCTTTTGTTTCTAGTTTCCTCATATGCATGATGAGCATCCTGAATCCAAAATGCTACAAATCTGAGTTTTTGAGCACCAAATTGATAGTATAAGTGAAAAATTAAAATTCTTCTAAATATTATATTTCCAATAATTTTTGAACATCTCCTTGAAGTACTTCCTTAGTACTATAAAACTCTCGTAAAAGATTGGGGAAAAACAAACTTTGTCTTTGTTTAGATCACTCTCCTTCCCCATATGACAGTCCACATGGCATTCTCTAAACATTTCAATGCTGTTCACCTAGTGTACTATGGAAAAGCACTTTTTTGTTTTTAAAAAGTAGAATGTTATATTGACATGAGCAAGCTGAATTCTAGGAGTGAGAGACTGAACGAGAGCATGGAGAGGAGCAGCTGGACCTACTGGACATAAGAGGAAGTTGAGAAAGGATCTTGTAAGAGGAAGAAAAACAACAGAAACTGAGAGAGCTATTTATTTTTCTGTCAAAGATCTGGGAATGTATTTTAAATTAGAAATATGTCTCAAACATTTCAAAGAAAAGACTTGAGAAAATATAATCATCGTATTTCATTTAAACACTCCGGGTCTGAGGCCACTCTTCATGATGCATCCTCAGCCCTTGAGCCAGGTCACATGTGGTGTGTATTTCACATCCCTGAGAACCTGTTAACCGAGAAACAGACTGGAAAAGAGGAGACAGGGTGAGATGCTCTTGGATCGCGATGCAAGTCACACAATCATCAGTGCCAGGTTTGAACAACAAGTCCTCTGATCAATGGCCTTTTTATGCAGAAAATCTTTAAGAGACATTAAAATGTAAAACAAAACATTAACATTTAGAATCCTTAATCAAGAATACATTCCCAATTTCTTCACTCCCTAGCAAAACCTAATACTTGAGTGCTTTTAGATCCAACTAAACTTAGTTTACAATGGAATTAGGACGCTGCTTTGGGTCTGTTTTTGGTGAGAGCAGTGTCCAGGGACAGCACGCAGTCACCTTTATCTTACGTTAGTGGATTTTTAACGTTCTTCAGGTGTATGTGAGCAAAGCTTCTTCACGTTGAAGCTAATGGTTTGGTTTTGACTGTTTTTCCCATTTGATCCTATGTAAAGTGATGAGTAGCACATCTGGGATGAGAAGATGTCTACCAGCCACACCTACATGTTTACTTAGGAAGTATTTGTTAGACGCCACAGTGCTCCAGGCAGTGTGCTAAACGCTGAAGGCACCCTGGGGAGGAAAACAGAATCCTCTCCTACAGCAGTCTGCCTGGTATATAGCCAGATGATTAGAGAGTGCACACTGCAACATCTCATACACACATGAGATGGCACCATTGAGAGGAAGTTCAGCGTTAGAAACTTCAAGAACATTCTCTGAAGCCTGGCTTCTTCAGGGAGCAGAAACAACATCAAGGAACTGGAGTCTCAGAGGGAAGCTGGGAACAAATGAGACAAGGGATTCATGTGGGGTACTTATCAAGAGACTTTGCCAGAAAGGACCTCTCAAAATGTGACGTGCAATTGAATTGTTTTGGAACCAGAAAACCTGTCTTGTTAACAACACACCAGGTAACACTCCAGCTGCTGATATAGGGAATCGGCAAAGGATGTCTAGAGTTTGGATTGTAGGGAGCAGAGAACAAAAGCGAGGAGGGGGGACAATTAAGTACTTCTTAGGTGGCAGAGTGATGATCTATTGTCCACTGTAGAAATAGCATTTTGACTGATACGATATTAGAGAAAATGGTTGGAGAGCATTTAGAATAGATCAGATGTTTAAAAAAGAAAGAAAGAAAATGCAACAAAGATGTAACCAATGATTACCAATCAGGGTAGTTAATATTGTGTGTTAAAAATGGAAACATGGAGAAATACGGGGTCTGGTGGGGGAAAGTATTGACTTTCTATTTTGGAGATGCTGTATGTCAAGAACTTAGGAGACATGGAAGTATGCAATGGTGGCTTCATATGGTCTGAAAAGTTGGAAGAGTTTGAGAGTCAGTTGTAAGGGAATAGTAGCTACTGATCTTAAGTCTGTGCTACTGAGAGTTGAAGCTGGAGATGGAGCACTTTTTATCTCTACAGTATCTGAGGAGGTCCACAGAACTTATGTTTTATGCACTATCCTAAGGGAGTGGAAGACAGGGTATACTTGGAGCCAAGTTGTAGAAGTCAGGAAAGGAGAACTAGGAATTAAAGGATCCACCATGGCCACTCACAGTGCTGGTAGTAAAACTGCCAATCTTGGACTGTGTGCTTTTGTTATGCCACGGAAAATATGACAAAAGAAAAAGGTATGGTTTGGGCTCTAGGACAAAGATATGAGGCTTTTTCTGTTGTACTCTAGTTTGGTCACATGGATATCTCTTTCCACACACAAACTTATGGAGAGAGACAGAGTATCTCAGGGTACTTAGTACATCAGGGTACTTAGAGAAATGAAGCCAAAAAGAACAACATAATAACTCGTGTGGGCCCTGGCCCTCGGTCTTAGAAAGAGAATCTCAGCATACAGGGATGAATCCTAGTATAGAAATGCAATTCTCGGTCTCTAAATTTTGTGGTATGGATTCCAAGTTAAGTCTCCACTGGAGAAAAAGTAATTGATGCAAAATAGCACTTTATAATTTAAATACTGAGGGTTCAGGTTCGAAAATTACCTTAACCCAAAGTCAATGTTCTACTATATTTCCTAAGTAGTGGTTGCACCATTACTTCCCTCTGTCCTCTTTCCTGCTAGAGCAAGCATAAACTGTGTATGACTATTATGCAATGCTATTGTTATTTATAGGACATACCTGCATCATATATTTGCATAAAACATAATTAGATGCAAGGAGGGGGAGCAAGTGGAAATAACAATGTAAATACAAGACTAAAAAAGGGATATCCTTCATAAACCAGTGGCTGAGGCTGACCTGGAAGCACTGCTTAAGAAAGGAGCACACTTTAAAGCAGTGCACAGGCATCAATGAGAACATTGACGCTGTTTCAATTATTAAAATGAAACTCTTTATCATTGACACTCTTATTTATTCATTGAGTTCCATTCCCTCCATTTTTTAAAAAAAAAATTCTGATCAGTGTTAGAATTTTTTTAAATAAGGTTTTTTTTGAAACCAGGTCTCAAGCAGTCCAGATTGGCCTTGAACTCCCACCCTCCCCACCCCTACCTACACACCCTGTGTCTGGGAGGACAGCTGTGTACCACTGTGCTCAGTACTGTGTGGTGTTGAGGATTGAGCCCAGAACCCTCTATCCTCTGAGTCACGCCCACAGCCCTAAGAATAAGCTAGCATTTTTGTTGTTAATTCCACCGTGATAGCTCTGGTGTATTCTGCTTCTTTAAAGCAATTAATTTACCTTCACTAAAAGAAGCGATAAACCTATGGGGACAAGTAAGATCGGTGCACACTTTGAGATGTTGCTAAGGCAATATATCTGATCATTACATGACTACTATAGATACTCTATTCACCTAAAATATAAGTTGATTTTTCAGTCTATTGGCAAAAAATAAAACATTTAAACTTAACCAAAAAAAAAAACAGAGAACAATAATTCTATTCAGATAGAAAACTTTCTGTCTCATCCCATACATTTTTAACCCATCAAAGTCATATTTAATCATGGACTCAGTCAACCAATGAGCCCATGGACTCAGTCAACCAGTGGGTCATGATAAAAGAGGAAAAAGAAACTGTTATCAGTAACAAGTTACTTATCAAGTAAACAGTAAACTACACTCACCTAGTTCTAACTCCAAGGCTCTTTCTGTACCGCACAATGTGACTGCCACTTCTTGTAATTCATGTCAGTTCTCACCATACAATTGGATGCCAATTCTCACCACACAAATTGGATAGAAGGCAAGTAATTTTTTAGTTATATTTCTTTCTTCCAGCATCACTTTGTAACTTAAGTTGGAAATAGAATTTAGTGGTCACCTGGTTGTGTGCTCATCACTGAGATAGACTTAAGAAGAACCATCAGAGGCAAGATGAGAAGGTGTATTTTGCCATCAATATTGCAATCACAGAAGGAGTCAAAAGCTCCCACCTGTTCCACAGAACCCATCCTGAAAGTCTGCCATATGGCCACATGCAGGTACTCAGATTTCAGTTTTATAGACTAGAAAAGCTACCATCTCTAAAAAAAAAAAAAAAACAAAAAACAAAACAAACAAAAAAAAAAAACGAGCCTGCTTTTTGCAATTCACATAAGGAAAACTTCTACAGAGAGCAAATCTAGAACTTCCGGTGGTGGGACACACACACGTACACGACAATTCTCTTAAGTATGCTCAAATGGTGATTGAGAATTTTCCTTCTCTGAATTTAAATAATATTCCCGAGGATGCATGCAGTGTCATCACTGGGATACAGGGTGTACCGAAAATGCTCCTGTTCAATGTTCTCTCACTTTTACCTTCCACAGCTACTTGATGTGCTGAAAAATGTGACATTCACTGACGGAAGGAACTCGTTTCATTTCGATGCCCATGGGGATTTAAATACTGGTTATGATGTGGTGATCTGGAAGGAGTTGGGTGGCCTCATGACCGTCACAAAGATGGCAGAATATGACCTGCAACACGACGTCTTCATCATCACAAGCCAAGAAGCAAAACGCGAATTCAGGAAACTTAAGGTGATTTTGTCGTAGGCTCTGCCGAATACAAGTCCACTAGCATATCGCCTGGAGATGTCCTGATCTCCAGCAGGGCCTCCAGCGATGGTCCCACTGCTCACAGAACACCTTCCGTCCCTAAATTCCGCGACCAGCCAGCATAACACTCTTACCCATGTCCTCGGTTTCCTCACGCCTCTCTCTTTGGTGTCCCCATTTCTCAATAGTGCCCAAATACAACTCCATATGTGGTCAATTCTATGTGCATCCCCTAAGTAAATGATCTTGGGGTGAGAGAGGTGGGAAGATAAACCTTGTTCATTGGATTCGCATTAAATTTAGGAGCCCCAGTATCCAGTGGCCCTTGTGCTGCTGGGCAATCAATCTATTTCCCCCGCGATGTTGTCTCTTTTCTTGCTAGCTGGCCACTTTATACTCTTCTCTGACTTTACCCCGTCACTTTCAGTCGATCCTGCTTTCTGTTTTACCCAAACACTAGGAAAAAGAACTGTGCTGGGTCCCATAGATTATTGGTTCCTGTGCTTCTAAATTCCATCTGGCCCTGTGAATGGACCGCTGTGCCTGTGCCCAAAGGCAGCACCTCCACTTGACCTGTGGACCCCAGTCCCTTCGCCTGCCCACTTCACATTCTCCTGCATCTGCTACGATGCTCTCTTCTGCACTGTCCACATGGCGATATAAATATGTTTTATTTCTCCCATACTCAAAAGGCAGCAGCTGTGTCGATTTCCCACATCCTCCTCCATTTGTTGCCCAAGCCTCTACTTCTCTTTGAAGCAGAACCTATTGAAATCATTAACTATCTCACCGGCCCCAATTCCTTCCATTCTCTTTTAGGCTTCCTATAATGCTACCCGAATAGTTTGTCTAGCTCACTTATACTAAATCTGAATATCATAATTCATTTAACAGTCAAATATTCTTTTCTCCATACCACTGGCCTTATTTGTTTCATAGACTCCATTTCCCTTGATTTCCCCTGTGTTTCTAACCACTGTTTCTGTCTCCTTTGTTAGGTCCTTATCTTTCCAATACCCCTAAACACTGGGTGCACAGACTCAACCCCGCTCTTTGTTGTCTGTTTAGTGACCTTATCAGGCTCCTGTCTTTAAACAATGTCATTTTGTAAGAGTCTAGTGATTTCTTGATTTTTATCTTTTAGCTCAAATAAGTGCTAACTGCCTAACTGGAATTTCTACACAGATATCTATCTGATAGTTTTTTTCCCCCTGACTGTCTCCAAAACAGAATTCTTGGTATTCTTTTCTACATCTCAGAGAATGACAAACCTCCTTTGTCAGTTGCTCGTGAGACGCCTTGATGGGATGCTTGTCCCTGGTCTGTCACACAACACACTTGTCATACTGCAGACCCACTGAGAGTCTAACTTCCAAAATGAGTCTGAGGACCGTTTTACCTCCTGGTCGTACCACTCCGCGGGAAGGTACAGCCACTGCTCACCCAGATCGGAGTGCTAGCTTTGTAAGTGCTCCGCCTACACTCACACCCCCTTCAGTCTGTTCTTAAGGCACCATCCTGGAAAAGCAGTGGCCTGCTCAGAGCTCTTCCACAGCATCGTTTTTCTTTCCAGGTAAAGGCTGGTGGTGTTCTAAGTGCTTCCTCTCTGGCCTCTATCTAGCATTTTTCTTTTCTCAATACCTTCTCTCCTTCTATCTTCCCCTTAATTTCCATTCCCCTGCCATTCCACAGTTCTCCCTCTCTTTTATATATGCCTTCCTTTTTCTCGATGGAAGGACTGTGCACCAGCTCCAGTCGACTTTACGTTGTCACACCTGAATCAGAGGGCGAGTGCCCGTGATCCCAGCACTTGAGAAGTGGGGACAGGGGAATCGTGAGCCTGGGTTCACAGTGATAAAAAGCACATCTAAGTTTATAAAGGAGTACAGATGAAAAGAACATATTCAGCACTGTGTTGAATCCAGAGAAGAAAGAAGAAAGAAAGGAAGGATTAAGAAAAAAAAGGGGAGGAGATTTTAAAAAGAGGGAGAGAGGTAGGGTCAGGTGAGTGGAAACATATTGTCAACTCTCTGTCTTTCTTCACCTCCCTGTTTTTGTTTTATTTTCTCCCCACTTGTCACCATCTCCCATTTCCTCCACTTTGCTTATTTTTTATCTTGTTTGCTGTCACCCGAAAACCCACATCAGTGACTCACAACTGCCTGTAACTCCAGCTACAAGGGAGATATATACACAGACACACACACACATGCATACACACACACACACACACACACACACACACACACACACACACACACAAATTGGGGGAGGGGAGATTTTTCCACACAAATTTTTAAAATCTTGTTAAAAAATACAAAAGTCTTATTTTTTCTTGCAGAATTCTTCCTTCAGCATAAAATCAGAAATTCCCAGACAAATATGTGCTTTTCCCTCTGCTGGGAGTTCTCTGAAAGAGCTATTGTCCATGGTTTTCTAACAGAAGCCACAAATGTCAATAGGCATGGGGGTGCATGCTTTTAATCCCGGGACTCTGGAGGCAGAGAAAGGTGAATCTCTGTGAGTTCAAGGCCAACCTGCTCTACAGAATGAGTTCTGTCCCAGTCAGAGACCCTATTCCAAAAAAAAAGAGAAAGATCCATAAAGTAGTTTTTCATCCAAAATGTCCTATATATTTTAAGTTTGTTCCTGTTCCTTAAGATGAGAATGCTATGAAAAAGACTAAAAATGCTACTTAGCAAATGTTTAAATGAGGAATAGCTAGGATAATTTTCTTTTTTAATTATTTAGATTTTCTTTCTTTCTTTCTTGTACTGTAGCAAATTCTATCTAAATGCTCCAAGGAATGCAGCCCTGGTCAAATGAAGAAAGCCACAGGAAGCCAACACATGTGCTGCTATGACTGTGTGAGCTGTCCCGAGAATCACTATAGCAACCAGACAGGTGACCACAGCCGCCTCCCACTGACAGTGCCGCCTCTGAATTGGTTCCCTTGGGCTGACTTTTCTGAATATCAATCCTAGCTTTATCTTTTGTTTTACAGTTCTTTCTTTTCCATTATGTGTATCAAACATTGGGCTTTGTGTATTCTAGGCCCATGCTCCACCTCTGAGCTACACCCCCAACCTCTCTCTAGGCCCATGCTCCACCACTGAACTACACCCCCAAACTCTCTCTAGGCCTATGCTCTATGACTGAGCTACACCTCCAGCCCCTATTTTTATTTATTTTATTTCTATTCTTATCCTTGAGACAGAGAGATTCGAAAATAGTCTTACACAGTTGAATTAGCTTGGACAGGATTATAAGAATCATGGTGTAGAGGGAGGAAATGGCTTGAACTATGTCTAATCCCTAAGCCACATCCTTAACAAGGTCTCTAAACTGCCACCAATAATAGCAAGTTCATGAGAGACTCGCATCTCTTTGGAGTATATAGATTTCCTGAAGAAGCACAGCCCAGTTGGCCTTTTAACTTCTCTATTATACTTTCCCATCTTCCACTTCACTTCCATTTACCTTCCTCTCCCATATTCTTTGGGTTCTGTGTCGGTTTTATTTGAGTAAGGAACCAATTTGACCTCTCCTGTGCTCTCTCTCTCTCTCTCTCTCTCTCTCTCTCTCTCTCTCTATATATATATATATATATATATATATATATATATACACACATATATATGTATGTATGTATGTATATATATATTAGTGTAGACAATCACCTAGTTTAAATGTTTGCGATGTAATTGTTCTCCTTTTCCTGCTAGATATGGACCATTGCCTTTTATGCAACAACGAAACCCACTGGGCCCCAGTAAGGAGCACTATGTGCTTCGAGAAGGAAGTGGAGTATCTGGACTGGAACGACTCCTTGGCTCTCCTCCTCATCGCCCTCTCCCTACTAGGAATCGCCTTTGTTCTGGCCATTGGCATAATATTTACAAGAAACCTGAACACACCAGTTGTGAAATCATCTGGGGGATTAGTGGTCTGCTACGTGATGCTCACCTGCCATGCCCTGAACTTTGCCAGCACAGGCTTTTTTATTGGAGAACCCCAAGATTTTGCATGTAAGACCAGGCAGACACTGTTTGGTGTGAGTTTTACTCTCTGTGTCTCCTGCATTTTGATGAAGTCCCTGAAAATTTTGCTGGCATTCAGCTTTGATCCCAAGCTGAAGACCTTCCTGAAGTGCCTTTATAGGCCAGTCCCCATTGTCCTCACCTGCACAGGCATTCAAGTGGTCATTTGCACTCTCTGGCTGGTTTTGGCAGCCCCTGTGGTAGAGGAGAACATCTCCCTGCCTAGAGTTATTATTCTGGAATGTGAGGAGGGCTCTGTTCTGGCCTTTGGCACCATGCTGGGCTACATTGCAGTCCTGGCCTTCCTTTGCTTCGTATTTGCATTCAAAGGGAGAAAACTTCCTGAGAATTACAATGAAGCTAAGTTCCTGACTTTTGGCATGCTGATTTACTTCATAGCTTGGATCATATTCATCCCTGTCTATGCTACCACATTCGGCAAGTATTTGCCTGCTGTGGAGATTATAGTTATTCTGATATCCAATTATGGGATTCTCTGCTGTACGTTCTTCCCCAAGTGCTACGTTATACTTTACAAGCAAAAGACTAACACCAAATCAGCCTTCCTCCAGATGGTTTACAATTATTCGTCTCACAGTGCCAACAACCTTGCCTTGAGTCATGTATCGCTAAACCCCACTAACCATGATACTGCAGTAACTAATCTAAGCCATAATGACAAGGCTGCAGCCTGTCCCAACAGCAACCATTGTCTGGCACAAGTGTTTGGCATAGGAAGAGAAAATGCTACAAATGTGTCTAAAACTTTGCATCAGAAAAGAAGTTCAAGTATATGAATTAGAGTTCTTAGGGTATGCCATGATCCCCAAGAAGTTTCTAGTCTTTGTTGTAAGTTGTGTGTTAACTTTCCCAACAAATATATCTTGTATAGTTTTGCTACCATTTGCTTGAATACTCTCTCTGTTTAACCACCTACAAAATAAATAAATAAATAAATAAATAAATAAAGCTAGCTAGCTGTTGGTATTAATCTCCCTCTGTTTTCTATTACTCCCTTCAGCCTTTATCTTGACCAGACTTCCTCTTAGGCAATTTGAAGTCAATGGATAAAACAACAGCCTTTTCCCATTCCCTACTATTCTCATGCCTCTTTTTCAAGCATTGTGATATTTCTAGTCTACTGAAGTTGAACAAGCCTATGGGTAGTGAGTACATATCCAGTAATACACTAAATACAGAGGCACTAGAAGTTACAATGGATCGTTTCTAGTCTCCAGGAGCTCAAATTCCATTGAAAGACAGGTATTTCCAATCACTATAAAGATTCTTCATTTGTATTGTTTATAGAGAATTGTGATAGTATGGAGTACTTATGGACACCCACCTAGGGAGATGAAGGCAGGGTTTAGAAGGCTAAGTAAGGGATATGGTATTATATAATACCCTAAAACATAAATGGATGTTAGGTAATCAAAGAGTGCACAGACTACATCCATTCGGTCACTGCACAGGAATCCTCTCCAGCATGTGGAGTCAGGTCAGAAATGAGTGAATGCCACAGTCTGGGACTCCTTGCTAAGGAGTTGAGTTTTTATCCTGCTTGATGGCTCTCACAGTGTCTGGCTGGGTGACAATCAGCTCAAAATTCTTCATTAGGAAGATAATTCTGATATAAGATGGCAGATAAGCTTGTTAAGAGCAGCCAGTATCTGTAACAAGAGTTAGAAAGGAGGCTATGTATGTGTTCTCAAGCTGGGAAGGAAGTGGCAATTCATTTGAAACCACTGGTGAAGGATGAGTTATAAGGTTCTATAAGGTCGGACGGTGATACGGGATGCAAGAGGAAGTGGTGAAGGGAAATATTGAGCCTGAAATAGTGAAACCCATCTAAAGATGTATCAAACTTTCTCACAGAGTCTTTGAGCTTGGTGGACCCCAATCAAGACTGACAGCAAGAACTCAGATGCCAGGTTCATATTACTTCTTCCTTTAAAGAGTATATTAAACAGGGCTGGAGTGTTGGCTCTGAGGTTAAGAGCTTGTTGCTTTTTCAAAGTACCTGGGTTTGATTTTCAGCACCCACATGATGGTTTAGAAACAACTCAAACTCTAGCTCCAGAGAATCTGATACCCTCTTCTGACCTCTGAGGACACTAGGCATGACACAAATACCTACATACAGGCAAAACATCCATACACATAAAAAAAGCCATAACATAAATAAATCAAAAAATGTATATCCATATGAGACCTTGTGTCAAACAAAACAAAAACAGGGCTGGCGAGATGGCTCAGTAGTTAAGAGCTTGTTGCTCTTGCAAAGGACCAAAGTTCAATGCCCAGCAACCACACTGGGCAGCTTACAATCACCTACAATTCCTGCTCCACAGGATCCAATCTATTCTGCCCCCACAGAGGAAATAAAACACAGATATACATACATAAATAAGTCTTACACACATACAGTATTGTCCCTGGTCTGATTTTCTTTTTAGCTGCCATCGTCTTTTTCCCTCTCTTTACCATCAAAGGGGCAGTATCATTGTTGTCATATTGGTTACTTATTGGTGACATATTAGTTGAACTGTCAGCTAGTTAGACCACTTTGTTGAAATAATTCACAGAAAAGTTACAGTAACACTTTACCTCTTAAGTTTAATTTATATTTTCGTGTCTGTTGGAATGCCCCCTTCCTAGTTCTTCAGGTGGCTTTAGGACTCCACAGTGTGACGTGAGCCTTTTCTGTCCATTGTACTGTGCTGAGCAGTGTTGGCCTCCTTTGTGGGTGTGTCTTTCCTAATGTGACTGCTGCATTTGAGCAGCGCAGCCTTTAAGCAGCCTGTGCACCCTCAACATGCTCTCTCCCACTATATTATCATCTCCAAGTCTGTACTTTGACCTAGATAACTCTCCAAACTGCAACCCTGCACAAGATCAGTCCATAGCCAACCTAGCCACGCGTCTCTCTAGATCTAAAGTCAGTATACCCACAACAAAATTTACATCTGACTTCCCTTTAATCCCTTTAATTCTTAGTTTCCTTTTTTCACCATGCTTCACCACTGCTGGACTAATTGAAAACCTGGGTTTCATTCTTTGACCACATTGAACATTTAACCCTCTTATACCTCATCTTGTAGTTTTTATTTTTTTATTCCTATATTTTCTTAGAACTTTGCTATTGTCTGCCAGGCATAGTGGCACAAGCTTTTAACTCCAGCACTTAGTAGGGAGGCAAGAGGACATATGTGAATTTGAGGCTAGACAGGTCTACATAGTGAATTACAGACCTGTTAGGGCCATACAGTGTGATCCAGTCTCAACCGCGTACGCGCACACACACGCACACACAAAACCCAACCTGCTGTACAACCTGTCCCTACTGTCATCACTTTCTTAATCACGTCCTTCATCACCTCTTTCATAAATTGTTTCAAAAGCTACTGATTTAACTCTGATCTCAAGCATTTAATGTCAACAAAGAGGATCTCTTCCTGTACTTGTGTTTATTTGCACGAGCTCCATTTGCACAGGAAGGGGGTGCAAGGAGCTTTTCATGTTCCGCACATATTTCAAAGCTTGTAAGAAGTCAAAGGACTTGTCCAGAACTCTAGGTTCTCCAAGGTCAGTACCAGCTTAGGCTCCATTCTTGCAGGTGCAGTAGCCTGAGAAAGGCAAAGTGTTGGAGATAGCCCCACGTCGTGCTGCTTCATGCCCCAGAGGCTGGGTTCTTCTCTGCGTTGTGTCTTCTTGACCTGTGACTATCTGAGGAACAGCTGAATCGACAAGACATAAGGAAACTGCTTCCTCTTCTAATAAAACTGATATCTGCCTGTGTCGTAGCATTTAGTACACATCATTGCACTCCCTTGGTTTGTCTTAACTTATTCAACTAATGGCTTCTAAGTGCCTGTACAATACCAAGCATAATCTAAAGATAAGAAATATAAAAAACACAGGTTCTATGTTCTCAGGAAGTTTACATTCCAGCATTTGCGTCATTTCATAGTGAGGAAAAGTTCTAGCTTCTGTGTGTGTCTCTTTACTGCCATGACCAGCATCACTAATTCTAAAACTCCAGAGTGACCTCTTACAATGTCATGTCTGCTGCTGGGAGACCCTGCTCAGGAATCCCTCCTAGTTCATAGAATTCATCATCATAGATCACTCCTTCTCAAATAGTTCCAATGGTGGTACTTTCCTATTCATGAATATTTAATAACCTCTGATTACAATCAATATTAAACTTCACCTACTTGCTAAACAATAGACACTTTCAGAAAGAATAGGTGGTGGTAGGGGGGTGGTAGTTTATTGCTCAGCCTGAATATATTCATACACAATGTGTCAGTTCTGGGCTGGAGAGATAGCTCAGTGGTTAAGAGCACTGGCCGCTCTTCCAAAGGCCCGGGGTGCAATTCCTAGCACCTACATGGTGGCTCAAAATGGTCTCTAACTCTGGTTCTAGATGGTCTGACCCCACTTCTGGTCTCTTCAGATACCAGGCATGCAAATAGCTCACAAACATACATACAGACTAAGTACCTATAGACATACAAAATAAGATTTTCTTAGTAACCAATATAGTGATACTATCTTAAAGTAGTGTTAAAGATTAAAGTATTCTTATGCACATAAAAATGTTAAGAAATGACTATCCTGTTTGTGGTTTCACTGGCTCATAGCTCTGTTGACATGAAAATAGTTTCTTCTGTTGATAGGGGACCAAAACAGCAGTACTGCTTCCAGATTTCCTGGGTTGGTCACACAAAATGAAAAGTCCCAGCTGTGGGTCACCAACTGAACAGACAAAAGAATCATTGTTCCATATAAGGTGTGAGGTTTACTCCAGTTACAGTTACTTTATTCCAGTGGAGAAGGAAACCAAGCTCTGAATTATTTGAAGCTGAAACTGTGCCCTTGTCACCATGTGAAGCAGGCAAGTAAGATAGGGCTACTTTGTTTTAAAATTTTCTTTTAGCTGTTGAAGCTCTTAGGTTCAAGTGGGTGTAAGATGAATAAGCTTTTTAATCTCCTTTTGAAACAAAGGGTTTATTTCCTTTTAATTATAAAGGTAATACCAAAATATGTTTTTAATACAAAAATAAAAGCAAACACACACACACACACACACACACACACACACACACACACACGAAAGTGTCCACATCTCCAACCAGCCAGAATTCGGCCAGCTTTTTGCAGATCACCCCATAAAGTCCAAATCATTACTCAAACAGATATTTTATCATTAGTCAAAGCCAACTGATTTAGAATTCAGTGCACTTAGAATCTAGAGTCAGAATAACTCATATAATCATCCTCTTATCCTGTTCACAGGGACATACACAGTACAATATTTTATTACTAACATAGGGTGGGGCATGATCCACATCGCATACACAGTTTTTATTGTTAGGAAATCAGAAGTCAGTCAGCTCAGGTTTTATAAATCTCTCAAGAACAAAGTCCAGTGTAATTATCACTAGTGTGTCTTATATTTTGTACAAACCATCCCCAGATTAGGACTCAATAAATGCTGAATGAGCCATCCAGATTCTCATTTAAAGTCTTAAAATTTTGATCTGTCCAGTAACTCAATGACATCTTCCCAAACTTATCTTCTCATGCTACAGTATCCTCATAAGAATTCCAAACAGGGGGTTGGAGAGATGACTCAGAAGTTAAGAGCACTGGCTGCTCTTCCAGAGGTCTTGAGTTCAAGACCCAGCAACCACATGCTGGCTCACAGCCATCTGTAATGAGATCTCGTGCCCTCTTCTGGCCTGCAGGCATACATGGAGGCAGAATGTTGTATACATAATAAATAAATAAATCTTTAAAAAAAGAAAAAAAGAATTCCAAACAGCTAGAGCA